AGGAGCACGGAACTTAACTTAGTTCGAAGCCCGCGCCGGCTTGTATAGCGTACAAAAGTTTCTCGCGCAAAGTCTTCTCGTCCGGAAACTCCGGGAGTTTCAGCAGATTCATACAGGTACTGGAAGTTGGCAAGTGATCTACACTACCAGCTTGTTGAATGCAAAACGGCGGATCGAGCTCCTGGAACATAAATGGTACTCTGTTTAAGAAATGAAATGAAATGAAATGAAATGAGAAGAGAAGGAAATGACTAATTGAGGAATTCTTTAACCAATTGTTTCTGTTTCTTTTTGTCTTTTTCGAGGAAAACAATTCCTCTTTAATGAAATGAAATGAAATGAGAAGAGATGGAAACGACTAACTGAGGAATTCTTTATCCAACTGTTTCTCTGTTTCTCTTTCTCTTTGTCGAGGAAAACAATTCCTCTTTAGTTAGTATTATTTAGCAAATAGGTGTACTTAAATGAAATGAAACGAGAAGAGAAGGAAACGACTAATCGAGGAATTCTTTATCCAACTGTTTCTCTGTTTCTTTCTCTTTGTCGAGGAAAACAATTCCTCCTTAGTTAGTATTATTCAGCAAATAGGTGTACTTTGAATCCAAGGAGAGGTGGTCGACTGCAACTGGTAACGAACTTCAGCAGCTGCCTCTTCTGTTGGTCGTTAAACTCGTTGACGACCTTCCAGAAAGCGGTGATGGTGGGATGGTCAGGGGCATAGCCTCCCGTGTAATTGGTGTGCAGCTTCAAGTCGTTCACGTCGACGGGGATCTGCGCGCCGGATATCAGAACCTGCAGCTCCTTGTTGCTGAACATTTGCAGCCAATCCATTGGGATCACGTTGCCGATGCCCTGCTTGAACGCGTAGCACTGCGCTCGGATCTGTTTGTTCAGCTTATAGTCGGCCATCAGATGGATGTACTCGATGCGATTGTGATTGGTGACCGGTATATTGGCGCCGCTCGGTTTCAGCTCGTCGACGCGCCGCTCGCCCAGCTCGTCCGACAGTATCGTGAAGTCGAGGCCGAGGTCCGAGACGTCGCCCTTGTAACTCTTCAGATACAACAGGTTCCTGTACATGATCGGGTCCAGGGAGGCCAGGTGGTGCACGTCGACGTCCGACTGGCGGCCGACGATCTTCAACAGGAAGAACTCCGCGAACGGCAGCTCGACCAGCAGGTTCTCGTACAAGGCTTTCCCGAGGATCCGACCGATGAAGTAATAATGCTTCGGGAAATCGTCGATCAACGACTGCACCGTGGGGTTCGGGTACAGCATGTTGTCCTTGGTGAGCTTGAAGAAGCCCCGGTTAGGGTCGAAGCAGGTCTTCAACAGTTCCGACAGAAACTCCCTGAACACACCGCCGCCGTCTACTCCGGCCTCCTCCAATCCGGCGGTGTTAACGAGCTGAACGCGCATCTTCAGTCGCAGCTCCGGCTCCTTCTCCGGCGATAACTTCTGGAACGCGTCCTCGTACAAGTAGTTCCTTCTCACCGATATCATGATCGACGGGCCCTGCATGAAGTGCGTCATTTCACTCTGCTGTTCGGACTTGTCCCGGTAGATCAACGATTGAAACACCATCACTCGGTCGTTGAACGGCACGACGAACGGTATCTCGCGGAGGAACGTCAACGTTCGGACCTCTTTCGAGGACAACGGCGGACCCTCCTCCAGTTCTTTCCGCGTGAACACACGTAACCCCTGGAACGGAACGTAGCCCCGCAGGCGGCGTCTGTGGAACGTGAAGTCCTGGGGCTTGTCGATGGGTATCGACAGCATCGCGTTCGAGGCGATCCAGTGTCCCTCCGGGCAGAACTGCTGCCTGAGATCACGCGCGTGCAACTGGCGCAGCAAGCCGACGGTTACTTTGAACAGGTGCGTCCACATTTGCGTGTCTTGCTGGTTCTGGATCGGACAGGACGGACCGAGGACCGCGTCCTTGTAGTCGTCCCGCACGGTGAGCCGACTGTCGGGGAACGCAAGTTCAACCAAACCCAAGCAGACGCCTTTCAGGTGACTCGACAGCATTACCAGTTCTGAGATCGTGAACGGCATCGCCTGTTGCCCGTTGGAGTCCAACGTTTGCTCTGTGTTCTCGACGAAGAACTCCGTGTCGTGCAACGTGGCGATGAGCAGGCTAAACAGCGAACAAAACACGGCTAGGAGTGGAACGATTTTTCTCGTGTCCTCGCTAGAGAGACCTAGCCCGCGCGATATGATCTGTAAGAGCGGTGTCGCTCCACCGAACAACGACACTTGGTAAACTGACAACAGAGCGTTCCATAAGTTTTTCAGGAATACCGGCTTGAAGGCGAGCATGTACAATAATTTATACTTATGTATGGCTAGTTTGTTGCTGATCAGCAAGTGATGGCAGAGTTGGCACAACGATTGCAACACGATTGGGTCTTTGGTTCGGTCCACCGCTAACAGTATCTCCTGAACGCGGTGTTGCTCATTCAGCATCGCTAAACACTGGTGTAGACTGTCAGCTTGTTCGTCGTCGATCATACTGGCGTTCGACTCTGTGTCCGAATCGTCCGCTTGCTCTAGGTTCTCGTCGGCGTTCAATGGAACTATCGTCGAACTCATCGCGGCGAGGACTTGTAGGTAATTGATCAGAACGTCCTTTGATTTGTATGTCGCTGGAACGGAGAAACGTTTCTTTAACGGATGATCTTTGCCCCGTACGCTTTTAACGGACTGTCCAACATCTTTTGTACACTTACATAAACGATTCGATTCTAAAGATAATATAGAATAAAATAAACTCATTGTATACTCTATCTTGACTCTATTGATACAGTCAATCATTTGATCGTATGGGAATTCTTTGTACTCGGATAACGATGGAATTATGAACATTCGAATCGGATCAGTCATTCTTGGGGACAATACGCTTCTGCAAAGTTCCCTTAAGACGAGCACAGAAAAATCGTCTTTCTGATCTAGAAAGGAAATTAAGTCTAATGGTCGCTTTAGCATATCCACTAGACACTTCGAGAGCGGAGTCGCCGGGACAGAACTTGGCTCCAACATTGGTGGAACTTTCTCGTCTATTAGTTTCCTTAATTGATCGAAGTATTTGTGTTTTATCAAATATACAAAGATGGTTTCTAAATAGTTGTAACCGTGTTCTCCTAAGATCTTTTCTGTATCTTCACGACTAGTAAATACTTCTAAAGCCCTTAACGGTATAGCCAATGAACCACCTCCATTCATCAAGGCTTCTGAAATATGTTTCATACACATACGAAGCATCCATCTGTAAGGAATTACGTTAGTACATAGTATTAACGATGTTCTCACATTTTGGCTTACCTTACTCTCCACATCCATTCGGGACAATTCACGCATTTCTGTTTAATTTCTTGTTCGTGTTTCAAAAAATGTTGAAATGTCCACACCAACCTGCTAGTATCCAAAGTATAATCGTAAAAGAATAATAATTTCCTAAAATATAGTGTCAAGTCGTCCAAATTTAAATTTCTAAGACCAGTTATTTGCTGCTGTTCGTCGAATTCCTTTCTCACAATTATCTTTGTGCGTTTTCTAACGATAAATCCACAGATAACTGCCTGAAGTTTTAAAACTGCATTGTGTCTTCTACGTTGCTGTGCTCGTTTTAAACGTTCTAACTTAGCATGCTGCAATAGCAATGATTTCTCTGACCGGTCGTCTCTCCTGCTTGCACCGGCTAAATTTTGTTGGGGTTTGCGTCTGTAATCACCATCGAAACTATACATGATGTTTCGATATTTTTTGAACATCATAACCTTCCCAACTCAATTCTAAAATGAACAATAAAAGCAAGAAATTAACCTGTTGTCTTCGTAGATTAAATACACAGAAAAACGTTAAATATTTTTAATTACTCACCATAGAGGAAGACGTATAGTACGACTTACAATTGAGAAATCATAAGTCCTACTAATATGAATTCAACAGAAATATTTCACAAAAGAATATCATTTCTTAAACGCTACGAGCCATCGTGGGCATATTGCTACTTATCTCCGCATGGTTAAGAGTATTTCATCAGATCTGAAAACTAATGGCAATACCGATTTCACTCAAAATTTCAATTCACTTCTACGTAAGAGTCAAATTTTTTTCTGATTGACAAGGTTAACAGCTACGAAAACTATTGTTGTCGTTGGTTTTCGTTCCGGTATAATTTTACGCTGATGATCGAATTCCAAACATATTCTCCGTGGTTCGTTTATCTCGATGGTATGTCAGCAAAAAACAATTAATTCTTAACACTAGATCGCATGCATACGACCAGTCATCAAATGCTCGCCATACTTTCTTTCAGATCGTATTAAGGGGGATATACACATAATGCGCGTGCGTGTATATTTGTGTAAATGCATTCATCGATGGTGAACGAATTAAGATGCAATTTTTACAATACACATTTCTACATTATCATATTTGAAAAACATTACACGTGAACCAACAAAACTTTCAAGATTAAAATTTCATTGACACACACGAGGAGCAAGCATAGGCTCCAAGGACGAGATTTCTTCAAATATTACGTTTTTAATGGCCTTTGATTGATAGAATTTTAGATTGTAATACTGGAAAAAAAGTATAACCAGTGCATCGAGACTTGAACACCTCAAAAAAGTTACCAACATGTGTACTCGACACGGTGCTGGATTGATCGTTAATATTTACGAAATTATTGTACATTAATTCCTAAAAAGGGGTACGATTATATTTCGCTTGGTGTATATTGGAACAATTTTTTTTAAAGATTCATGGGAAAGTCATCATATGGGGAACTGTACCTGTAAGCCTTTACGAAACGCGTACGATACGAGAAATCCAGAAAAAGGAAAAAAATATTTAAGAACATACTTGTTCGTTCGAGTTTATATTTCATATAAGGCGCCACGATGAATTAGTCGAGTCAATAGGTTTTTCATTGGTACGCATCTAGTTTGAAATCGCAGATTTCAATTCGGGATTGGCTGTAATTAACGTTTGTGGTCAGTGGTTGTGATCGTGATGTTTTCGTTACGATTAGTTCGGTGGTTTCGTTCGCAAATGATATTAATAATGTTCGTTATGCGTTTGTGTGTTAATGGTTTCAATTAGGAAATCATTGATCGAGTTTCGCACTGAAATACGATATAAATGAAAAAATGGGAGGTACGCAGCTGATACTGAAACGCGTTTTTTCATTTATTCTGTGAAATTGAATAAAGAATGGCCGGGAAGATGGCGGCGGCAGAGTTAAAACATGACAATGTTTCGTGCTACGAAACTGTGAAAAGAAATGTATCAACAGCAATCTCGCACAGAGAAATAGAATGTTATCGATTCCGATTATTAGATTTAATTTACTATATGACCTCTGTCAGTTTTTTTTTCGTCGATATAGCAACAGGTGACCAAAGAATGAAAATATATTACGTATTTTCTCTATTGCATTTAGAAATTCTGTTTCATTTGATAGAACGTAAAAGTAACTTAAGAGAAATTAATCGTAACTAAACGAAAGTAGTTCTTTTTAATGTTGAAATAAAACAATAATATTATTCTAGTTTCGTGTGTGTATTGTTTACATACAAAACATACATCCATACGTACATACATATATATACATATATACGTATATAACATGATTATGATTGAGTAATATGTAAAACTTGGAATTTTTTAAGATTTTTCTGACTTTTATATACGCTTGATGTATTATATAATAAACATAAGCTTTAATTAAATGTGTTTTTACATAAAACAAAGTCTCGCTTAATTGATGCCTTTTAATCTTGATGCAAATTTTAAATGCAAATTATGAGAGAAATTAAAGTTGATATGTTTAATCTTCGTGAATGTAATGCATTTAATAAGAGCATCCGTAAAATACGTATAAATTACAATTTAATTTTTGTTGTAGACAGTATTGTTTTCATGGAATATTTTTTACAAGGCCAATTTATTTGGGGATGCTTTGCTATGAGTTTTACAATTTTACCCGCTGCTGTTATTCAGATGTTTAGTTTGAGATGGTATCACAGTGATGGTTCTATCAAAACTGTACATTGGCTATTACATTTTTTCTTTTTAGGAGTATTGCAAAGGTATTTTAAAACAACTTTCTTTGAATTAATTTATAATTATTAGTTATGTTTTCTCTCAGGGAAGGTACTTTTATTTTTAGGTATTTAATATTACTTTATGCCACAATTTATTCATTGAGGAGCAAACGATTTGTAAAGGATAAAAACTGGGTATATAGACAAGAAAGTGATATATGCATGTTACACCTGTTCGAATCATTTATGGGGGCTGCTCCGCAATTAATATTGCAATTATACGTTATGGCAGTATTACGTCATACACCGCTTTGGACAAGTAAGGACAATTCAAATAATTACACAATACGTGAATTAAAAAGTTACACACTCTGTGTTTGAGATCATCGATGCATGGGTTGGGGTTAAGTGTAATTATTTATCACATTAGAATTTGTATCACTAGTAACAAATGTTGTAAACTGTTGTCACAGAGGTAAATAAGAAAATAGCTTAAAATCACTTTCATAAACCTTATTAATATCATCGAGCAATGACCGAGGAACATTCTGCATGTATTCTTTAACTATAGCAGTAGTTGTAACTCCTCGTGGATTTATGTTTCTTAAATCATTTCTATCATATAAATAATCGCTTATACCTAGTTCTTGTATTAGAAACTGTTGATCTCTGTCGAAGGTATCAAATTTCAAAATGTAATTGTACGTAATTAAACAAGGTTCGCATGTATCAACATATGGTGCCCAATGTTCATCAAAATATTTTTCTTCTACTATAAAGCGGAGAAATTCTGTAAATGTGGGCTCTATTTTAGTTTCATTTGGTTGTCTATATTTGTGATACTTGTGTGTAATATGACGTCCAAATCTTTTATAATAGTAATCTCTTCCTTGTATGTGTTCTAATTTATCTCTATACGCAGATACAAGACGTTCGAACGGATGTCGAACAATCAAAAATTTTAGTGTTTTATTCAGTTTCTGCAACAAAGTATGTCTTACTTTTTATATCTTCCAATATGTATTTCTACTCTGTTTTTGTCATACTATTACATACTTGATATGCTTTTTTCATGTCTCTGTCACGTGGGAATGCTTTTCTAACAATTGTGTTAATTTGTAAAATATCTCTGCGAATCAGTTCCATAGCTGTTTCTGTTAATACTCCTCCAAGTGTAGCAAAATGCTTCATCCATATGGAACTGGCAACTTTGTATATAGGACACCACGATATTCCATGTACCCTGCAAAATACAGATTTAAATTAATTTAACTTTTTAGAAGCAGATTATGTTATACTTACGTATCGATGACCATGTTAGACAGTACATTGTCCAAGTTTGATTCTGGTCTTACTATAGTTTTGCAATATGTTTCTAACTTATTTTTTCTATCGTCAAATTCGATTTTTATGGCTTCCATTTCCTTTGTGGTTAAAATACTTGAACTAGATTTATTTCTGACTGGATCATAATGTTTGTAATATTCATTGTAAATATAATTTGCAGATTTTATATGTTTAGTCGTGTGTAAACACGAGTTGTGTAGCAAATTTAATAATAATATTAACAACATGAATACTATGGCAAATATTGTAATTAATTTCACTATCGTAAGTTGTCTCTGTAAAAAAAATTACAGATTCTTATCTAAAAACATTGAACCATTCGATTAACCTGGAGGCTACTTACATTTAATCCTAAAAACATGTTACTAAAGATATGTAAACATTTCACTTTTAACAAGTGTGGACGTATATGTGTTTGGCCTTCGAGTTCTGTCATTTTCACT